ACATGTAATTCACCCTCTGCCTGGAACATTTGTTCTTCCTACCCTACCCTCCAAATATTATTTCCATCAGCTTAGCTGTTACAGTCCTCCAGACTAGGACATTTCTGCCTGAAATAAACTATAATAATATCTTGCATTTCTTCTTCAAAACATTCATCACAATGGTAATTACCTGAGTAACTGGACAATTAGTTGTTTAATGTTTCTCTATCCCTCAGAATGTAATCTTCAGGGCAAGAAAAAATGTCTATAACTCTTGTTTACTAATATATCTCCAGCACCTACAGTGCCTTGGTCAGTAAACATTTGTCATGTGATTAAATGAAGAAATGATTTGACTGAGTCAAATGTTTTGAATCCTGAAGGGCACAATTATATTACCCTTAAGCATTGTTTTGGCAGGCAGTCAGAAATAATAACTAACGTTTGTAAAGCTTAATTACCACATACCAAGCACTTGCTAAGCACTTACATGAGTCCCTATTTAATCATCACAATATCCCTAAAGAGTAAGTCTTTGATTACTCTCATTATCCATCAGTTTATGGATGACGCAACTTCAGTATCAGAGAGGTGAGGTCATTTTCCCAAGGTCAAGCTAAATAAGTGGTGGTGGTTAGCAGTCATATGCCTTAGGCACTATGCCACCAAAGCTCCTTTTTATACCCAGGGATTGAGTGACCTCTGGAGAAAATCCCACAAGTAGGCAATTTCAAGGTCACCATCTCCTCCTGGCCTTCAGCACTATCTGGCATACCAGCCATTTTTCTCTAGTCTATTTCCTTTTCAACATTCAACATTATTTCAACCTTGCCCACTATTCTTAAGGTGCCAATTTCCTTACCCGTTGCAGCTGAGTCAATTCCAACTCATAGAGACCCTACAGGACAGAGTAGAACTGCCTCATTGGGTTTCCAAGGCTGAATCTTTATGGAAGATGACTGCCACATCATTCTCCCGAGGAGTGGCTGGTGGGTTCGAACCGATGAACTGTTCAGTTAGTGGTCAAGCATTTAACCACTGCACCATCAGGGTTCTTTCTGCCAATTTCTTTACTTCCCCACTTAACTGTCAACAAATGATCTCTTTTTCATAGGGAAAAACTAAGCCTTTAGACAAAAACTTCTTTTTATTGTCTCAAAATTTACAAACTTACTTATATCCAAACTTATTTTTCCTTTCTTTTCTCTGTTAAAATGCAAAATTTCTCTCCTATCTACCTATGCCCTGGATTCCATCCAGTTTGTTTAAAATAGTGGTGATTACAAGAAACAGTATGCAATTTACAGTGGCCTAAACAATGGAGACAGTATTATCTCACAAAGCAAGAAGTATGGAGGCTGAGTATAGCTTCAGTATTGGTTCAGCTCTGTGATGTCATAATAGATGCAAATGCTTTCCATATTCTATTGTGCCATTTTCAGAATGTGGCAGTGTCTCCTCTCCTGAGTAAAACATGGCTATAGCAGTACCAGGAATCATATGCACACAACCACATCCAACAAAAAAGTGTTGTGCTTTCTTCTATGCATCTCTTTTCAAAAGGAAAACTTCTCCTAGAAATGCTCTCCCCTTGACCCTCCGACAGCAAGGCATAATGACTGTTACTGTGAAGAATGATTGTTGAGTACACTATCAACAGTATTTGCCACGTACCTCATATTATCTCTCATCTTCATAGGGGGTCTCCCTCTCTCCTGTGTATTCAATCTCTCCAAGACAAACTCCTTTCCATTAGCTTTTTTTTTTTTTTTTTTACTTTACATTACTATTTTTTATTTTTGCAGTGGTCCCTCCTTTCCCCTCCCATCCCTGGTAACCAACAAAGAAAGTATGAAGAAAATTTCCTTCTATATATAAACCTTTACTTGACTTTTTACAGTAATAAACTAATACAGTATTTGTCCTTCTGTGATAGACTTATTTCACTCAGCATAATGTCCTCCAATTCATCCATGTTATGTAGAGTTTTGCAGATTCTATGTTATTCTTTAGTGATGCATAGTATTCCATTGTGTGTATGCACCACAGTTTGTTTACCCATTTTTCTGTTAATAGTCACCTACGTTGTTTCCATCTTTTTGCTGTTGTAAATAGTGCGGCAGTGAACATGGGTGTGCATATATCTGTTCTTGCCTCGGCTCTCACTTCTTTAGGATATATACCTAGTGATGGGATTACTGGATCAAATGGTATTTCTAATTCCAACTTTTTAAGGAATTGCCATACTGTTTTCCACAGTGGTTGTATCATTTGACAGTCCCACTAGCAGTGTAGGAGAGTCCCAATCTCCCCACATCCTTACCAGGATTTGCTGTTTTGATTTACAGCTCTGTAATTTCCATTATTCTACAAGAGCTCTGGTAGCATAGTGGCTAAGACACTTGACTGGTAACCAGAAGGCTGGCGGTTCAAACACACCAGCCACTCCTTGGAAGGAAGATGGGGCAATCTACTTCCATAGTGATACTGCCTCGGAAACCCAAGGAGGGGTCGCTATGAGTTGGGTCTGACTCCACAGCACATAACAACAACAACAAAATTTCCATTAGCATTTAATCTTGTACACATGCCTTCTGTCTTTAAAAAAGGCTTTCTTTCCAATCCAAATCCCTGTCCAATTAATGTACTTTTTCTCTTCACACTTACTGACTCATCTTCCTAAATTCCTCTCACTCACTGCCATCTGGCTTCTATACAGAAGAACCCACCAAAACTGCTATTGTTACACTTACTAATCACCTCTGTTGTAAAAACAATATAGACATTTTTTAGTGTCATCTTAATTGACTGAACAGTGGTCAGTATTCAATACACCTCCCTTCTTTTAATCCCCTTTTTTTTTTCTATCCTCTCTACCCTTGGTATCTTTGGTATCATGCTCTCTCTTTTTCTTCCACCCCACCTTGGCCTCATCTGCCTTTCCTCCACATCACCTTTCTTTCTCAGTCTCCTTTCTACACAAACAACCCTGGAGGCTTTAAGTGCTTAGTCTTATTCTGTCTCACATCACTGCACAGTCTCCTCGAGGGATAGCATCCTCCAGAACCTCAATTATTCCCTGTATGCAGAGGAATTTCAAATTCCTACCTCTACCTAAGTGTTTTCTGAACTCCAAACCTTATACCTACTTAACATACCCATTTGAATATCTCTCCAGAACTCTATACACATCGAATACTGAACTCACCATCTTCATGTACCTCATTAACCTGTTCTTCCTTCCAAAGTACCACTTCTCTAACTCCCTGATATATGAACAAATGCCTCTTAACCAGTCTCTTCACTTTCATCTATTCCTTCTTTCAGTCCATTCGCCACACAACCAGAGTGACTGCAATTTAAAAATACAAGTCTTATATTTACTCATGTTTAAAACTCTTCAATGTCCTTCCACAAATATTTAGAAAAAGTTCAAAATCCTTAACATGACTTCCAAGACCCTGCCTAATTGGACCCCTGCTGACCTTTCTTACCTCATTTCATCACACTCTGCTTTCTATGCTTTAGCCACATTGCATGTTTTCCATTCTGTGCTCTCTAGCTTAAGCCTTCATGGTGCTGTTTCCTGTGTTTGGTATTCCCGTCTTTCACCTGGCAAGATTTCTCCCGACAGGAAGAAATCAGGAAGGGCTTTTCTGAACCTGCTAGTCCATGTCAGATCCCACCATCACACACTTCTCTAACACTGAATTTTCCCTCTTGTGGCACTTATCATCACTCACAATCATGACTTATTCAATGTCTGCCTTTCTCATTATACTGTACAGTTCATAAAAGCCAAGCCCTGTTTAGTTGGCTCACTTCCTTTCCCTCCATGCTGGGTACAAAGCCTAGCTCATAGTAGATAAACAATAAATGTTTGATGGATGAGCGAAATGATTTGAGGAACATTTAACTCTAACACGAGGAATAATTAGAGATATAGCTCCACTATATTTTATAGGTTGAATGAATTTTAAGGCCATTTAAAGTTGATGTTAAAGATCAACTTATTCTTCCTGAGGAATAGTGTCCTACATAAGCAGCAACGGTTTGTAATCAGCATTACATTTCAGTTCATAATTACACTATATGAGAGGCTGAATTGGGAAAAAAGTAAACAAAAAATTGGAGTGCAATCTGCTAGCTATTTTTAGGTAAAGTATATGTAAGAAACTAATATTTTCAATTGTATCTCCTCCTTAGTATCACAGATTATAAAATATTGCATTGCTGGAAATTTAATTGGTGAGGAATATATAACATATGCAAATTTAAATAAATCATACAAGCCTTCTGCTAATAGCTATGAGACCCTGTTAGTTCACGGAAGCATATTTTCAGTTTAATGGCAAGCACCCACAAAATGCCATACCTTGATTACAGGACATTCTTACATAAAATTGAGAACAAAATCATTCTACCATAGAAAGTAACTGGATATCTCACACAACGGCCACTAATCCTAAGAGTATGTATGTTTCCCCATTAGGCACAGTCTCACTGTAGGCAAGGACGATTCCTCCCCATTTAGGGTCTCAAAGGGGTCGAGAACAAAATCTCCCAATGAGCGCCAGCTCCTCTCCTCCCCTTTATAGCTCGTATTTAGTAATTCTCACTACTGTCTCCTTTATCTGTGCCCCTAAAAGTACAGTCACATTTTCCAGATCAAGTAGGAGAACAAACCTACATTTTCATCATGCCTCATTCGGGTCCATCGACCCACTGGAGCAGTTAGTTATCCTTCCTACCGCCTTCTATCTCCTGGACCGCTGAGCCTGCGCCCTAGCGGGCACGCGCAAGCACCAATTTGCCAACCAGACGAGACACTGGTGCAGTATGCTGACGGCGACGTGTACCGTCACGTGACGCGGAGAGCGCTTGCCCGTGCGCTTGCGTGCAGCTCAAGGGACCGCTGACGGGCTTGCGTGCGTGTGCGCAGCCGGAGGCGGGGGCCGGACCAGCCAGGGTTGCCCGGGCCGCAAGGCCCGACCAAAGAGGGAGGGCGGGGCCAACTCCGGGACCGCGACGACGACACATCAAGCGAGCGTCTGGGCCAGAACCGAGCGATGCTGTGGTTCCAGGGCTCCATTCCGGCCGCCATCGCTTTGGCCAAGAGGAGCGGCTCGGTCTTCGTGGTGTTCGTGGCAGGTGAAGGGGGCGGGGGACCAAGATGCGGCCGGGACACCCCCTTCGGCCTACCTCCAACTCCTTCTCTGCCTCAGCCGCCCATCTGCTCTCCCCGAGGGGCAGGCCCTTCTCGTCTCACACAGTCCGGGCTGTACCTTCGACTCTGAGTCTCAGGGACAGTCCCCACCTCGACGCGTACCCTACAGAGGCCGTGCAGCCTTCTAGCCCCCGGTTGTTCCAGGCTCCGGTGGCCCCAGCCTTTCTCGGTGCAGCTGGAGGCCCAGGTTGCCCTTCTGTTTGACACAACGGGCCTGGGCTCTGCCGCCGGCCTCGCCTCCTAAGCGCGTAGCGCGGGGCCACCAGCTTTTTGCTCAGGGGACGAGAGGGGAGGCGGCGCGCAAGCCCTTGCCGCCCGACCCCGCTCGTCCCCGCGGAGCTCGTCACCGCGCTGCCTGAGGAGTTGGTGCAAACCGACCTCTGACTCCCCGGCGTCACGGTAGAGCCCTCTGGCCCTGAAGACCCACTTCAGGATTCTCTGACGCCCGTTTAGTTCCTGGTATTTAGATGAAGGTAGAGGCGGGACAGGCCATTACACACTCATTGGGTTCGTAATTACTTGTGGACTGTCAGGAAGAAAGCTGTGTCATCATTAAACAACAAAAGGAAACCACCTGATGTTCACGGTTTCTGGTGTTAGTTTATTTTTGGAATACACACTTTTGAGTTTAATGTAGGTTTGCCTTTTGTCTTTTAAATGACAGTGTTGGAGGGAAAGTCTAATGTGAATAATTAACTTTTTGTAAGTTGGTTTTTCCATTTGTTAAAAAGAAGCAGACTCCAGGCCTTGGTTGCCCTCTTAGTCTAAAATCTATTTTCGAGACAGTGTACTAACTCATTTACCATATGTGGCTCAGGATTATTTATTTTGCTCCATATTCCTTTATTTATTACTTAAACCTTCTAGATTTATAGTACACCTTATGGCTTTATGACTTTACTGATTCTCGTTAATGAACCACGTCAGTGTTTGTGACTAATGTTAATTTGAAGTGAATTACTTCTTCACCTTTTTTGTTTGGTTGTTTAATAGCGGTTTACTCACAAATCACTGATGTTTCTTGGGAAACTAATAGTTCTGTAACTTCATTCACTGTAGTGAAGAACAAGCATAATACAGTTATGCTAAAGTTTTTGCTGAATGCCATTAATTGGAAGAGCTTGAATAGTTTAAGCTCTTTTATGCTACCTCTTTTGCATTTATATTATAAAAAATCAAACTCACTGCCATCAAGTTGATTCCAACCCTTCTTGGGTTTCCAAGGCTGTACATTATTTTTTTATTCAACAATGGAGCTTTTTTTTAACTTTTTATTGTAGTTTGGGTAAAGTTTACAGAGTGAATTCATTTTCCATACAGTAGCTTATTCACATTTTGTTTAATAATGTTGACTGCAACTCCCCACAATGTAACAGCTCTCTTCCCACTTCCTCTCTGTAGTTATCTCTTCCCTGTGTCCTTTTTTCCTATGCATTCCTGCCCTATGAGCTATCTCCCAATGCAAATACTACCCTTCTTTTCTCCCATGATTAATTGTTTTAAGGAGTGTGTCTCCCTGATGTAAATGTTCACCCTATATGCCTGTCTGTTGTTTGGCTGGAAGCAGCATGAGTTCAGTTCTAGACCTGAAGAGTAACTAAGGGTCACAGTCTCAGGGGTCTCACCAGCCTCTACCAGACTAGTTAACCTGGTCTTTTTTCATGATTTTGAGTTTTGTTCCACATTGTTCTCCCACTCTATTCAGGATCTCCTGCGCTGGTTCCTTTCCAAGTGGTTGACAGTGGTAGCTGGGGACTATCTGGTTCTTCTGGTCTTATTGATCATATAGGCTGAGGTTCACATGGTCCACTAGTCCCTTGAACTAATTGTTTCCATGCATCTTTGGTTTTCTTCATTCTTCTTTGCTCTGGACAAGGAGAGACTCATTGTTGCATCTAGATGGAAGGCTGTAAATCTTTACAGAAGCAGACCGCCCCATCTTTCTTCCATGGTAGTTGGTAGTTTTGAACCACCAACCATTTTTGGTTGTAGTCAGGTGTGTTAACCACTATGCCATCAGAGCTCATTATATTACACTATACATAAATAACTGCTATGTTAGGAGCTCTGGTAGCATAGTGCCTAAGGCACTTGACTGCTAACCAGAAGGCTGGTGGTTCAAACCCACCAGCCACTCCTTGGAAGGAAGGTTGGGCAATCTACTTTGGTAGTGGTACCACCATGGAAACCCAGAGGGATTGCTATTGAGTCGAGGTCAACTTGATGGCACATAACAACAACAACAACAACATGATCCTGTAAGGAAAAAAGTGGATTAAAGAAAAGGGAAACTAAATGACACTGATGCTTGTTAAAAGAATACAATAATAAATCCAAACTTATAGCTGACAAGTTGATTCTGACTCATAGTGATCCTGTAGGACAGCAGGACTGCCCCATATGGATCCGAAGGCCAACTGACACATCTTTCTCCAACACCGGGCTGGTGGGTTCGAACTGCTGACCTTTCAGTTAGCAGCCGAGTGTCTAACCACTGTACCATCAGAGCTCCTTAATACAATAATAGTTTTATAATACTTAAAGTTGTTAGTGTTTTTTCATGTAAAATCTAAGTGGATCGTTTTGGTAGGTAGAACCAATTTTATTGCTCTCTCGCTATGAGTCGGATCTGACTTGACAGCAGTGAGTTTATTATAGGTAGGGAAACTTAACCACAGTCATTAAGTGACATGCACCAGGGTCACAAAAGGCATTTATATTTTATGTCTTTGTCAGACTTTTAGCAGTTTCAAAAAAGTCTTGCTTTTTAGTTTCTTGAGCAAAAAAAAGGAACAAAACCATTTTAGACTGTTTATGTAGTTATTTAAATTGGTGTAGAAATCAAGAAACCTAGTACTGTGATTAGGAGCTCTGGTAGCATAGTGGCTAAAGCACTTGACTGCTAACCAGAAGGCTGTTGGTTCAAACCCACCAGCCACTCCTCGGAAGGAAGGTTGGACAATCCTACTTCCGTAGTGATACTGCCTCGGAAAACCCAAGGAGGGGTCACTATGAGTCGGGGCCGACTTGACGGCACTTAACAACAACAACAACAACAACGGTACTGTGATAGTTATGTATTTAAACAAAAAGCACAAGCCATGGTCTGTAAATGTCCTACAAGGTAGTTCTTGTTAGGTGCAATCAAGTCAGTTCTGAGTCATAGTGACTCTGTTATGTTGTTGTTGTTATTTGCCATTGAGTTAGCCCCGACTCCTAGTGACCTCTCCTTGGGTTTCCGAGGCAGTTATCACTACGGAAGTAGGATTGCCCAACCTTCCTTCCGAGGAGTGGCTGGTGGGTTTGAACCGCCAGCCTCCTGGTTAGCAGTCAAGTGCCTTAGGCACTATGCTACCAGAGCTCCCATGTTCACCTCATAGGCATGTCTATTGTTTGGCTGAAATTTAAGC